GAGATTTTTTAATTCCTCTTTGTCTTTATACAGTTGGGCAAACTGAGGCCAGGGAAAGGACTTGCCAAAGTCACCCAGCTGGAGCACAGCCTGGTGGTCCCATAGCCTCGATAGACACGCTGGTGGCACCCTCCCCAGGAAGAGGAGTGACCACCCACCACCCACAGCGGGCAAGCTGATAGTGCGTTAGAGGCGCTGCCTTCTTGGGCGGTGACTACCCACCCAGCCGGCAAGGCCAAGGAGCCCTCATCCTAGGTGGAAAGGGGTGCCCGCTGCACCGTGTGTGCCTGCTTGGCAGGCTGGCTGTTCAGGACAGAGCCTTAGGGTCCAGCTACTTCCGCCAAAGGCTCCAGTTCTCCCAGATACCTCCCTTGAAACAGGAAGAATGCGGGGCTTTCTTTTTCTTTTTTTTTAAATGCCCCTTTTTAAAAAGAATAGCTTTTCTTTTTAAACCTCTCTAGGGTTCTGAATTGCACTTCATCCTCCCTTCACTGGGGACCAACTATGTTGGGAGAGAACTGTGGGACAAGAAGAGAAGAGCACTCCTCAGTCCTGAAGTCCCCAGCTATCCCCGTGGGACCTGGGGCCTTGGGGGCTTCCGAGCGCCCAGCTGGGGATGCGGCCCCCAGGATCGAGAGACAGGTCGGCATTTCAAGGAAGGCCGGGTGCTCGGCGAATTTCAATCAGAGAAGCCGCTGGAATAAGAGAAACGTTGCTTATTGTGCTAGTACTACCCCCTTCTCTCCACCCTCCAGGAGCCAATTAAATTCACCCCTGCTTGTCGGCCAGCGAAAAAAACTTCTAAAAGGACCAAAGCCGGAGTTGCCTATCCAGGCCCAGACTCTTGCCCCAGGCCCTCGGCAGCCACCCGCTCCCTGGCGCCCGACCTCCCCGCTGCTGAAGCGACTGGGTCAGACTTCCAGACTTAAAACGAAGTCGTTTATTTCAATTTTGCTTTCACATTATGTTCCGGTACAATCAAAACTCCTGGACGAACCTCTTGAATGAAAGTCCTGCGTTGAGCGCAATCACCAGGTCCTGGACGCCCGGGTAATACGGCGGGTGGACTCGGGATTCAGAGGCGCTGGTATAAAACAGACGCTGCTGCTTCGGGAACTGTGGGGCGGCCGGTTGGGGGAAATCCGGGGGCAGAGGCGTGGAGATCGTGCCGGCTCCTCCAATTAGGATTATTCCTGATGGCATTTGGACTTCGAAAAATCCAGACTTCGCTTCCAGGCCGGTAGTGGCTCCGGGCCTAGCAAGACTTCGGCCAAAGCAGGGAGCACAGGCGAATGCGGGGCTGGCTCTAGGCCTGGCGCAAAAAGGGGTGCAGGCAGGCTTCGCAAGGAAGCGCTCGCGCCCCGGCCTTTCGGGCCCCCTTCCCCGGTGCATTCTCACCAAGTCGACTTCCCGTGCCTCTGAGCCTCGCAGGTCCACAGCCCGCCCCCTAACCTCGCAGCAGGGGAAGATGCGGAGTTTAGAAAGCTATTCCAGAAAAATAAAAGTCCCATTTCAACTTTATTGGGTTAAAGCAAAATTAAATCTTGGCTATTCACACGTATGTTACAGAGGACGAGGAAGCGTCCGGAAGAACCTCCTGGCATTTAGTGGAGCCACAGAACACGAGGGCATTGACAAGCATCAAGACATCAAGCAGCCTTAGATTTCACGATCACTCCGAATAGGACATAGAAATACGGAAATACAGCCAGTTTCCACTGGGAAGAGTTCTTTGAATACAAATGATATATATTTATATGTATTTTTGAACCAGTCACCCCCAAGGTGAGTCCTTTCTCTGCTAACAAGCAGCGGAGGACACAAAAGTATCTTCAGCTAATTAACTCTTGAGCAGTGTTTTCAGAGCAATACTTGCCAAATTAAAACTACCTCCCCCATTCAAAACAAAAGCAAACAAAAACCTTATCCCCTCTCCAAACTAAAAGGAGGGGAGGGGCGTATTAGAGTTCAGCGGGTGGAAAGATTCAGAGGGGATCTGAGGAGGAAGATATTTCACATTATACAGTGAAATACAAAGTTTCTTTTGTATAAATTGTAGGGAACAGGAACATGGGGGTAGAAACAAAGACAAGGTAGTCTCTCTTTCCCGATTACTTCAACCGGCATGGGAGAAACGAGTTTGTTTTTGGAAATGGGAGTGCGCAGAGCTAAGCGGAATTCACTTCTCCTAACGGGGAAACGGACAAAGTAGTCCGCCCGACCGCCCGCGCGCACCTTTTACCGGGACACCGCTGGGGAACACGTAGGAAGTTTCGAGTCGCGCCGCTTTCTCGTCCTCTAAATTTCAGCCTCTTTCTTATTCCCCCTCCTGCCTTCCTCCTGCCTTGGCCCTCTCCCTGCCTCCATTCCGGCAATGAGCCAGTCAGAGGGGAAACACCAAGAATCCGGAGAAGGTCGAGTACTTCCAGCCCCCCATCAAGTTCCCCCGCTCCAGCTTGAGGTATGCTCGGTCGCCTTTCTCCATCTGGATTAGAACTCCATTGCTGGCGGCCTCCCGGGTCACGTCCTGGTCACCAGCAAAGGCTGAAATCACCGGCCACCCGTTTAACATGAGGCTCACCTGGGAAAGAGAAAGGCCTGCTTCAGAGGAGCAACCTAGGCGGGTACCGAAGCGGCGGTAAGGACGCGAACCTTCGCGGCTTGGCTAACAGCCACAAAGGGCTGGGAACCTGGGGGAAGGGGCCGGGGATGAGAAAGGGGCTTTGCAGCCCAACTGGGTGACAGGAAGGGTCTGCCCCCCTAAAACGGGAGTCACTTTCATTTCTTGGGCGCACCAAGCAAATCCCGATTGCACTTTTAGCCAGTTTAATGAACCCGTAGGCGGCTCAGGTGCCCTGAGACTTTCCCGGCCTCCCCCCACCCCGCAGCCGCCGCCCCCCCCACCGTTTCAAAGAGACAATCGGGCAACTGGGGTTTCTGGGAAAACAAATAAAACAAAAAACAAACAAACAAACAAACAAAAAAACCTGGCTCCTCCTGGTCCTAGTTGCCTGCACACTGTGGAGACACAGTGGAAAAGACCAGCAAAGCTTCTGGCTGATGAGAAATTTCGCCAGAGCTGCACTCTGTGCTTCATCCCCGAACCCGGGCTCAATTCCTATCCCAGATCTAGCCGTGCGGCCGCTGCCTGGTTTTGTTTGCCCTTGGGTGGCATCAGCAGCCAAAGGCCCAGCGCCCTCTCCCTGGCCCCCGTGCACCCTGCCTTCTGTCGGCCCAAAGGAAACCTGGACACCTTCAGGAACCTGGAGAGCTGGTGAGTGCTGGCTGGAGCCCAACTAGAGCCCAGAGGGAGTAGCATTACACCCCCGCCATTCTCTCTCCACCCTTCAACTGCTTGGGCTCGGGTGCTGGTAGTTCAAAACCCCAGAGTCGGTCCCCAAGCGATGCCAGGAGCCCCCTGAGCATGGTACTGAAGGCAAGCACACAGGAGTCCAGGCTTTCAAGCTGGGACAGGGGGTGGGGATCCTGTCTGTGGTGCTGAAGGCCGGTGGCAGGAAGCTGCTGGACGGAGGGAACTGTCTCTGATGCTAGCCAGCAACCACTATGGGAAATCCCTAGAGTCCCATCCGAAAGGGGGAGAACCTCTTTGGAGGGGCCCAGAAGGCAAAGGCAGGGAAACTCTGTGCGGGAGGGGACTAAGGTTCCAAGCGCCGGTGAGAGAAGCCAGAGACAGTCCAAGCCACAGAACTGTGAGGCCCTGCTCCTCGTCCATCCAAGTAACCCCAGGCACATGCAGCTGCCCCTCTATCTATCTCCCACCCCTCCCGAAACGGCCCGCTCACTCCGGTGGCTAACAGCCCCCTCCCGGCCCGGGGCCTGACCCAGACGCGGTGGCTGACCTGAATGGTCTGTCTGTTGTAGACTTTAACCACGTGGAAGTTAAAACTGTAGATCCCTTTGCGCGGGGCGATGAAAGTGCTGCGTTCTGAATCAAAGTTGTTCCCGATGTTCACTAGTACCTATAACGAGACGGGAACGAAGGGGAGTAGACAAGAGTCAGTCCCGAACTCCTGTCCCCGAGCCTCTGCGGAGCCTTGGAGTGGAGCGAACATCAGCCTTCCACGTCTCCCCCAAAGCCAATATGCACGGAGCACTCACCTGGTCAAAGTAGATGATCATAGTGCGATTACTCATCTCGGACGGCTCGTGGTTGGTGCTTCTGATGGCAGAGAAAGCCACCTTGGCGCTGCCGGAGCGCACCGAGATGCCCAGAGCTGTGCCCGTGGGATCGGACGTGGGGTTGGAGTCGCACACCACCAGGCACTTGCCTTCCAGCACGATGGGCTCCGTCTCATTCTGCCCGCGGGCCGGGCCCGCCAGCCACGCAGCCCCCAGCAGCAGCAGCTCCACGACGCCCAGCATCGCGGCGCCGGCGCCCACCCCGCCCCCCACCCCGGGGGCTGCTTGCGCCAGCCGCCCCCCCCGCCCCAGCCCCACTCCGAAGCCCCCTCCTCTGCTCCGTGCGCAGCTTCGCAGACACCGCTCTGGATATTACTGCTCTTCCTTGCACTCCCAGGCAAGCGTGCCCCCCGAGCGATGCTCCCGGAGCCCCGCCCGGGCCTCAGGGGTGCCGCGGCTGCCCAGACGCACTTGGATGCATAGCCGCTGCCGCTCGGTCCCCGCTGCCGCTGCCGCTGCCGCCGCCGCCTCCTGCTCGCACCCGCAGCCGCCGCCGCCGCCGCCGCCGCTCTGAATTATTGATGCAGCCGGCGCTGCAGCCGGAGCCGGCGGAGAGCGCGCGCCGGGCACAAAGGCGCGGACCGCGGCCTGGCCCCGCCCCCGCGGCCTCCCGGCCCGCCTCCCTCCGCGGCCCCGCCCCCTCGCCGGCCTAGGCTCCGCCTCCCAGCCAATCCTGGCGCGCCGCGCTCCCCGCTGAGCCAATGGCGGCGCTGTCCGCGCGCGGCCACCTGACCCCGGGCGCCGTTGTTATTAGGCGCGGCGAGGCGGGCGGCGCGCGGCAGCAGGGTTGGGCTCTGGCCGGGAGTCTACCGGGGGAGCGAGGGCTGGGGGCGCGCGCGCGCGCCCGTGCCCGGACCGTCCGCCGCGGCCGCTCGCTCTTCCGTCTCCCGCCTCGTGCCACCGTCTCGTTCAGCCCCCTCGGCCCTTCCGCCCGCCTCCAGCCGCCGGCCCGCAGGTAGGAGGCGGCGCGCGCGCCCAGGGTCGGGAGTAGAAGCAGGGGCGCGGGAGGCGCCGCGTGTGGGCGCGCGGGGTGGGAGGGGAGCGCCCCCCAGCGGGCGCGGGCGCGCGGGGCAGCCGGCGCGCGGGTGAGTTTGGGCGAGCGAGCGGCGGGCCGGGCGGCCGGGCCGCAGGGCGCGTGCGTGCGCGGCGGGGCGCGGCGCGGCGCGGCGGGGCGGGGCGGGGCGGGGCGGGGCGAGGCGAGCGCGGCAGCCTCCCGGGAGGTGCGGGGACCGCGGGCCCAGGCGGGCTCGCGGGGCGCCAGGCCCGCTCCCGGCCCGCGCTCCCGGCCCGCGCTCCCCGCCCGCGCCCCCGGCCCGCGGCCGCCGGGGTGGAGCTCGCCCGGCTGCCCCCGCCTGCCTCTCACAGCCCCTGGCCTGCGGGCCGCGGTCCTTCCTTCTATTCGGGATGGATCCTTGCACGCCTGTGAAGCGCCAGGCCCGGGAACCGACGCGGACGAGGCCTGCCTTCGTGCCCTCCACAGCCCAGCACACTGGGCAGTGACAAGCACGGTGGCGTCGCACGCAGGCCCATTTACCGGATCGCATTTTCCCTTTGGCACTTCACGGTTGATCCGTTGCATGCGTATTTTTTGTCTGTGCCGTGCATCTTTACTGCGTGTTTTATCTACGTGACCTGTACCTTAGAGCTGAGTTGTAGACCCCAAATCTTGCGATTCGTGGGCGATTTTCCAGGAGTGATTCTGACCCTACGAGAATTTTTGCCGCACACGTTGACTTAGAACTTTGCACACACAAACGGGTGTTTGCAGTCACAAACCAGGAAGCAAAAATACAGTTTGTCCAAGTGGCAGGGAGAAGGGAACTGCGGAGAGGGTAAGAGGAAGGGCGCGCTGGAGCCCGAGGTGCGGCGGGCGGAGACCTGCTGGAGGATCGCGGGCGGTTAACCGGGCGGAAGCGGAGGACGAGCGGACCGGACCTCCCGGCCACAGCCAGAGCGGAGGTGCCGGCTCCGGACCCCACGCGGAGGCGGGCGGGGAGGGATGCTGCCCCCGCCCCCGGGGCACCTGGCGCCGCGGTCACCCCCGGGCGACCTTGAATCTGCGAGCTCCGCGCTCCGCAGAGCCAGAGCCGACGAGCGGCAGGCGGCAGCCCAGCGCAAGCCGGGGAATCTGGCAAGACCTGGGGGCTCGGACCGACTGCGCTTCCTTTCAACCTCAGGATTTGCCACCAGCGAGGTCTGCCGCCCATGGGTACGCGCTCCCCCACGCGGGGAAGCCTGCCTTGGAATCGCCAATAGCCACGCCTTTCAGCTTGTCAACCTCCTTTGTTTCTTTGAGACTTTGATAGCCGTCTAAAGAATCACCTGCGGGGAACCCCATCCCCGACACCCGCCTCCGTTTGCAGTCACTCAGGCTCGCCTGGAGAAACGGGGAAGGGATGGGAAAAGAGGCAACAATTTTACTTTAGATTAAAATGACACACACACAAATTTTTTTTTCCGACTCTGATCTTTTGGAGACATCCCCAGAAAGCGTTGCCAGCTGTGATTACACCTAATGTGAGAGCACGAACTAATTTAAGAAGTGAGAGCTGAATAATGAGACTGCATCCAGGATAGGGGCCATGCAGTAGAGCTGGCAGCTGCAGCGGTGGAGGGTCCCTGGAGATGCACTCACGTAGAACCTACTCGGTCATTTCACCAGGACCGGCCCTGTCCCGTGTAGCCTGCTTCCGTGGAGCTCACAGGCAGGACTGAGATTACCCAGAGGAGGTTGGTGCCAGCCCCTTCCTCTTCTCTTCCTGGCAGGGCTGTAGCACGGCAGTGCCCAAGCCTGAGCTGCCATCTACATGCCAGTAATGCTCCATCTTGCATTTCCTATCTCAGCCTCTCTGCAGCCCACACCTATCGTACTGAGGGCCCTCTGGACCTTTTGGAGGGCCCTCATACCTACAGGTATGTTTACCTGACCCATACCTTGTCTCCTTTCTTGCCTTCCAAACTCTGCCCCTTCCTTCTCCTCCTGTTCCAGTGACAACAGCTGCATCCACCTGGGACCCCCACACCTAAACTGATTCCATCTCTGTCCTGTTGTTTGAATCATTCTCATAGGGCTACCTGTTTGGCATTCATTTGTCTGGCCTGGGCTATTTCAAGAGCCTTCTAATTTATCACTGAGGGATTAGTGCAATAATTGCACCCTGGCTCTGCTGTATACCATTTATCTTCCATTTGATGAATGTCTATTGAAGCCTAGAGATATGTAACCTCCACTTTTTTCCAGTGTAGGTAAGACTTCTGTGGCCACCATATTTCAGATTGATCACTCCTCTGGCATTCTCCATCTCTCTTCCACATAGTATGTGTTCAAAAAATAATGAATATTAATTTAATGTTGATAGATATTTACTTCCTGAGTTATGATGATTAAATGAAATAATATATAGAGAGGAAAATCCATTTGAAACCCCAAAACCGGGATTCCTGGGTGGCTCAGTGGTTTAGCACCTGCCTTCAGGCCAGGGTGTGATCCTGGGATCGAGTCCCACATGGGGCTCCCTGCATGGAGCCTGCTTCTCCCTCTGCCTGTGTCTCTGCCTCTCTCTCTCTGTGTGTGTGTCTTTCATAAATAAATAAATAAATAAATAAATAAATAAATAAATAAATAAATAAATAAAATCTTTTAAAAAAAATCTCAAAAGCAGTCATGTTTATTTTTAGCATTGTCTCATTTCAGACTCAGGATTCTTTTAGCTGCAAGTGAGGAAACAGATTCAAACTGGCTTAAGTATAAAGGACTTTATCTGGTTAACACAAAAAGCCTACAAGTACATCTTGCCAGTGGAAATATGGCTGGATCTACCAGTCAGGGTTATCAAGATCTGCTTTCTGGTTTTGGCTTCATTTTCAGACAACCTGTTTGCTAATGATAGCCCCCTAGATGCTACTATCAACTTAGTCCTAGCAAGAGAGACTACTTTTTCTTCAATATTTGCAGCAAAAGTCTCAGGACTCTTCTTACAGGGGCAGTCTGAGTCACTTGCCCCTTTTTGAACATGGAGAATGGACTGTTCTCCTGAGTAAATTTGGATTTAGGTGTTTTCCTCTGAAAATGGATTTGGTGTTAGCTGCACACTGTCTAGCCCGGGGCGGGGGGAAGGGATTCTCCAAAGGAAAATTGCAGAAGGGATGCTGGGCAGCAGAAACAGTACATGTCTATTTTAGTCTCTCTCAGAGGGTCAGCTGCAATATATTTCACCCAAAAACAGCCAGTGATGAAGACGGATACAGTAGCCAAAACAATAGATATGTTTGTCTTGATCCTTTTCAATCTTCGAGATGTCAGTTAAACATGAAATTAGATGCTATCAACCATGACGTTACTTAAGGGTTAGCTTTAAAGCCTGCGTGCACTTTGAATGGTAGAGCTAGATAAATGTAAATAATTAAGTAATTGTAACATTCTATTCTAAAAAGGTTATTTTGACAACATTATGTTGGAATTGACTTTTTTCTATTTATTTTTTAGGCTCCTAAAAAGAGAAAAATTTCATTTCTTTGTGGATAGGCTCCTAAAATTCTTCATCATTTATCCATTAATAAAAACAAATGGAAATTTGAGAGAGAAAGTCCTGGAAATAAAACGATTGAGTTAGGTCATATTTGAAATTTAAGACTATAGGGTTTAACCTACTAAGATTCTTCTGGTGTTGAAATATTGGTAAAATATTATAAAAAAAATCTATCTGGACCTTTTAAAGTAATGTATTATAGAGATTTAGGCAACTACAAGATTGCAAATAATGAATGTGTACTGTTGCTGTTATAGCCTTTACCTGGTGCTTTAAATTTGGATTTCTGTTTCAGTGAAGCAAAAGGTTTATTACTCTTCACTGCATCCTGAATTTCCCACCACAGTGCATTTTGAGAAATGAATATAACAGCTTTCTTGATCCCGCCCACCTCACACCTTGGGAAAAAAGCAATCCTCTATTGTTGGAATAAGGGAACATTTTTAGGAAAGGGGGAATATTTTGTCATAGGATGTGCAGCGAACTCATCCTTTTATTAAATCAAAATGGATTCTCTAGTGTTTATATACATCAAGCAGCATTTCTTCTTAGTCCTGTGGTTCAAAGGCCCAAACGGTGTAATTCCCTACTATTTAGTTGATTTGCCCATAAAGCAGAAGAGAATGGCTAGTTTGTTCTGAAGTGTTAAGTTTAGGCTTTTGAGGGTCAAGGTCATTTCAAATTAAAGCTTGGATCTATACTATATAAAAATGATTCTAAGTTCTACAAAGTATGAAATAAAATTTTAAATTATTTCTTCTTCTTCTTCTTCTTCTTCTTCTTCTTCTTCTTCTTCTTCTTCTTCTTCTTCATTACCTACTCAGATTCATTTTTAAATGCAACATTTCTTCTGTTTAAGTTTTAAAAGTTACATTACAAAATAAACTTTATAATTGGACACTTATTAAATGCAGGATTACTTTTTAATGAAGGCCAGTTTTGTGGTAACATTTTAATTCTTTAAAAAAAAACTTGGATCTTAAAAAGATCAAAGGGTATATTCAAAATATCTTTAGTTCTTATGTTAATACCAAATTATGCATTTTCTAGCCTCTGTTCAAAAGGAGAGACTGTGTGTCTTCTAATTTGGGAGATGCTGGCACCATTTTTAAAATGATACCCTGAATCTGCTGTGGTATGTGCTGTTAGGAATTTTATATGAAGCTGTTGTTCACATACATGCCATTAAGATCAACGGAAAAAAAAAACAACACAGAAAATAATGTAATCCTACAGAGCTGCTCTTGAGAGAAAAGTCACATAGGTAACATCAAACAGTAGTTGGAATTTTTCCAAGAAGTAATTATCTGTGTGCTTTTGGGGTGGTTGATGAGGGGGACAAAGCAAGGTTTGGCCAATTCAGCAAACATTTATTGAGTGCCTGCATTGCTTGAGACACTGTTTTGGATCTGTGGCTGCTGCAAAG